GGTGCCTGGGTGGCTCAGTCGTTAAGTGTCTGCCTTCAGCTCAGGTCATGGTCCCAGGGTCCTGGGATCGAGCCCCACATCGGACTCCCTGCTCGGCGGGAAGCCTGCTTCTCCCTCTCCCACGCCCCCTGCTTCTGTTCCCTCTCTCGCTGTCTCTCTCTCTGTCAAATAAATCAATAAAAAATCTTTAAAAAATAAATAAAAATAAAAACATTGAATTCTGTTGTGGCCACCTTATAATTTAAACAATCCTTTTTAAAGTGTTTTGAGAAAGGAACATGTCTCTGAGGAGTGTATAGGAAGATCTTAACCTTGAATTCCACCACAAGATTCCACTGGTAGGTGACATAGTTACTAGTTAATGGGAAGCTAAGATAGCATCAGATTGGATAAAGAAGAACCCTTGGTGCTTTTGCACATTAATTGTCATAATAATGACACCCAGCAGTGTCACAGTAATACCTGGCTTGTGTTATTATTCCCGTTTTATGGAGACGTAGTTTAGACCTGTTGCCTGGGAAAACTCATGGTGCTGGAAGTGGTGTCTGAACCCAATTTCTGACTCATTCAAAAAAAGTCCAAACACTTGCCATTTTTCACCATCTTACCTTTGGAGAGATGGCCACAAACACAACAGCCATTGTGAAATAAATACTACCATGACTGGTTCATTGAAATGCAGTGAAAGAACTAAAGTTACATGAAGAATTATTAGAAATCTTTGTCAGTAATTAATAGAATCATGTAATCCTGACATAAGAACATGAAGGTATCTTTACTAGAGTGTCCCAGTTATGTTAAGCATTGTTTAGCAAGTTGAGAAGACTAATAAAACCCATAAATATCCACAATGTTGGGGAGCCTGAAACTAAAATGTGTCTATCAGCCAGTTCATACAGTGTGTCACAACATTGCTAAAATCAGAGGATATGATAGAGCAGAAATCCAAAACTGACCAAGCTTCTTATTAATCTTGTGAATCTACTTTCCAGGTTTAGGAGTGGGACTGTTTAAGCAGAGGTTACATCAAAATGCAGCAGGCTTGCCTCTTGTTTCGGGGGACTTAGCTGTTGTAGGATTCTCCTGACTCTGATGACATTGGAGTTAAATTTCTCAGAAGGCATAGCTGGGTTGTTAGGGAAACAAAAAAATCAGAGGTTGAGCTAGAGAGTAACAAGGGGGAACCTCACATAAATTAGAGGGCCAGAGGAGATCTCTCTCTTTTGTTCTATGCCTTCCATCCTTCTACCTCTTGCTGCTGGTCTCTGGTATCACCATCTTAGTAACAGACTTTTTTATCTGGGGCCCAGTGGCATATGCTACATTTTCTAAGACATACAAAAATACTATGATAAATGTAAGAAGATAATTCATGATAAAAGGACATCTGGCATAAAAACTGTTTAGGATCATTTCCATGGCAACCCAGTACGGGCAGTGCACTTAGTGGCAGTGGTCTAAGGGCTCACACAGCAGGGCAGGTGCTGCCTCATGGATAGGGGCATGCAACTCGCTCTGTGGGAACCTCCATTTCCAGAGTCAGGAGAGAAGGTCAGGGTCTGCCACTTCTCTTCCCATATGCTGGGTCTCAATCCATCCTCCTTTCTTGTGTGTTTTCTAAAGCCCTCTAACGTTGACTTAAGTCAACAAAAAAATGACCAAAACAAAAATTCCCTGGTTTTATAACCATGGCTTTTCCAATTCCTTTGATCTTTTTAGTTTCCTTTTCTCCATTATTTTTTTTCATATGGAATCTTTCAATAAATATTTTTTTATTTTTATTTATTTATTTTTTAAAGATTTTATTTATTCATTTGAGACACAGAGATAGAGAGAGAAAGCATGAGCAGGGAGAGAGGCAGAGGGAAAGGGAGAAGCAGGCTCCTTGCTCAGCCAGGAGCCCAGTGCGGAACTTGATCCCAGGACCCTGGGATCATGACCTGAGCTGAAGGCAGACGCTTAACCATCTGAGCCACCCAGGCGCCCTCTTTCAATAAATATTATCACAAATATTTGTTCTCAGAATGTTTTTGGAGTCACTAAAGGTTCTGCATGCATAATTCTTTTCTTTTTTTAAATTTATTATTAACATATACTGTATTATTTGTTTCAGGGTTACAGGTTTGTGATTCATCAGTCCTACACAATTCACAGTGCTCACCATAGTACATAGCCTCCCCAATGTCCATCCCTCCCACCCACCTCCACTCCAGCAACCCTCAGTTTGTTTCCTGAGATTAAGAGTCTCTTAGGGTTTGTCTTGCTCTCTGGTTTCATCTTGTTTCATTTTTTCCTCCCTTCCCCTACGATCCTCTGTCTTGATTCTCAAATTCCTCATATCAGTGAGATCATATGATAATTGTCTTTCTCTGATTGACTTATTTCGCTCAGCATAATACCCTCTAGTTCATCCACGTCGTTGCAAATGGCAAGATTTCAATTCTTTGATGGTTGCATAATATTCCATTGTATATATATATATATATATATATATACCACATCTTCTTTATCCATTCATCTGTTGATGGACATCTAGGCTCTTTCCATAGTTTGGCTATTGTGGACAGTGCTCCTACAAACATTGGGGTGCAGGTGCCCCTTTGGATCACTACATTTGTATCTTTGGGGTAAATACCAGTAGTGCAATTGCTGGGTTGTAGGGTAGTGCTATTTTCAACATTTTGAGGAACCTCCATACTGTTTTCCAGAGTGGCTGCATTAGCTTGCATTCCCACCAACAGTGTAGGAGGGTTCCCCTTTCTCCACATCCTCGCCAACATCTGTCGTTTCCTGACAGCCATTCTGACTGGTGTGAGGTGGTATCTCATTGAGGTTTTGATTTGTATTTCCCTGATACCAAGTGATGTTGAGCACTTTTTCATGTGTCTGTTGGCCATTTGGATGTCTTCTTTGCAGAAATGTCTGTTCATGTCTTCTGCCTGTTTCATGTTTGGATTATTTGTTCTTTGGGTGTTGAGTTTGATAAGTTCTCTATAGATTTTGGATACTAGCCCTTTATTTGATATGTCACTTGCAAATATCTTTTCCCATTCTTTTGGTTGTCTTTTGGTTTTGTTGACTGTTTCCTTTGCTCTGCAGAAGCTTTTTATCTTGATGAAATCCCAAGAGTTCATTTTTGCCCTTGCTTCCCTTGTCTTTGGCGATGTTTCTAGGAAGAAGTTGCTGTGGCTAAGGTCGAAGAGGTTGTTGCCTGTGTTCTCAAGGATTTTGATGGATTCCTGTCTCACATTTAGGTCTTTCATCCATTTTGAGTCTATTTGTGTGTGTGGTATAAGGAAATGGTCGAGTTTCATTCTTCTGCATGTGGCTGTCCAATTTTCCCAACACCATTTGTTGAAGAGACTGTCTTTTTTCCATTGGACATTCTTTCCTGCTCTGTGGAAGGTTAGTTGACCATAGAGTTGAGGGTCCATTTCTGGGCTCTCTATTTTGTTCCATGTGTCTGTTTTTGTGCCAGTACCATACTGTCTTGATGATTACAGCTTTGTAATAGAGCTTGAAGTCCAGAATTGTGATGCCACTGGCTTTGCTTTTCTTTTTCAACATTCCTCTGGCTATTCGGAGTCTTTTCTGGTTCCATACAAATTTCAGGATTATTTGTTCCATTTCTTTGAAAAAAGTTGATGGTACTTTGTGTCTTCCTCAGTTTCTTTCATGAGTATTCTATAGTTTTCTGAGTACAGATCCTTTGCCTCTTTGGTTAGATTTAGTCCTAGGTATCTAGGAATAGATACAAGATGGCATTTGGCCATCTTGTTGAGATGTTTTCTTCAGTAGGCATATAAAACAGCACACACTTTGTTTTTCTGTCTCACTGGCCACTCCTTCTTGGTTTCCTTTAGTGAGTCTTCTTTCTAACTAAAGGTTGGAGTGCCTTAGGCCTTTGCCCTTGGACCTCTTTGCTACCTACTCTGCTTAGATGATATCTGGTCCTAAGGCTTTAAGTAATACCTATTCATATCTATATGCTGATGACTTTCAAGTTTGTAGTATACCCTGTTCCACCCTAAACTCCTTAAAACTTTCAGTATCCCAGTCCTCAAACTCTCTGCTTTCCGTTTCAGTAAATGACATCACCATTTATTTACCCAGTGGCTCCAGACAGAAATCTAAATTATTCTTTATTCTTGGGTACTAACAGGGTAAGAGAAATGATGAGGAGAGAATGAAGCCATAATCATAAAATTAAAAATCAGAAACAGTAAGGGCAGTCTTTGTGAGATCATTATCTAGATCACATCAGAGTTTTGGAATTTAAAGGCAAAAAAATGAGGGGTGCCTGGCTGGCTCAGTCTATAGAGCAAGCAACTCTTGATCTGGGGGTTGTGAATTCAAGCCCCATTTTAGGTCGAGAGGTTACTTTAAAAAAATCTTTCAAAAAATAAAATAAAGAACAAAAATTGAAATATTTAATATAAACCAAATAAAGAGGCAGATTTCTTTGTGATAATTTGTGTATACACTCACACCACATACAGTTGAATTTTTCAAACTCCCCAAAATTGTAAGAAAGCACAATGAACTTCTGTATACCCCTTAACCTAGATATAACAACTGTTAACACTGCTCACTTATTTAAGCTGAACCATATAAAAATACTCCTTTTTGACAAAAAAAAAATAATCATATAGATGGTTGAAACTGAATACATATTTTCACATACAACACAAATTTCCTTTTGCCAAACCATCTGAAAGTAGGTTTTAGAGAAGATGCTTCATTATGTATCTTATAAAAACAAAGACAGTTTCCTACATAACTACAAACCAGTACCTCAACTGAGAAAAATCAGTATTTATTCAGTATCGTCATCCACATATAGTCCTTATTCAGAGCCCTATTTGTACCATCTGTTTTGTTTTGTTTTGTTTTTTTAATCCTACTACAAAACTAATTTGTGAGTCTGGCAGCTTTCTCTTAAAGAATAAAATGACAGTGTTTATTGTTAGCTTACTTTAGCTTTTTTCTTTATGGCCTAGCTTCTGACATCCGTGTTTGACAACAGCATCAAGACCTTTGGAGTAGTTGAGAGTGATCCTTTTGACTGGGAGAAGACTGGAACGGATGGCTCCCTGACGACCACCACTACTTCCACCACCCCTCAGCTGCACACCCGCCTGACCCCCGCGGCGATCGGGTACGTCCTGCGCAGATCATTGAGCAATGGCTTTCTTAGATGCACTACATTCGCAGAGATGTCTTTTATTTCGTCTGGATCCTTCAGATGACAAAATGCTGAGACATAGGAGAAAGCCTGTGTATTTCCTTGCATTAACATTGCTTTTATATATGTCTTTGTTCAGATTTACTTTTCTTAGAAAGTATTTACAGATCATACTTTGAAATGGGAACTTTGAGCTTGTTGATGTCATATTTGCAGTGGGTTTTCTCTGAAATGAGAAGGAGTTGTTTGCATTTGCTTCCTTTTTTTTTTTAAGATTTATTTATTTACTTGAGAGAGCGAGCCGGGGGGAGGGGAAAAAGGAGAGAGATAGACAGAATCCCAAGTGGACTCTCCACCGAGCATGGAGCCCCTAGCAGGGCTCCGTCCCATGACCCTGAGATCCTGACCTGAGCTGAAATCAAGAGTCGGATGCTTAACCGACTGAGCTACCCAGGCGCCCCTGTTTGCATTTACTTCTAAAGAATATATGGGACCCTGGAAAGAATGAGCCAACTTTACTATGTTTAAGTTTAGTATGAACAACACATGTAGCTTGTTCCTCTAAGAAAGTAACTTAATTTACAAAGTATATTAGGAACAGGTTATCATGTATTTCCATCATCTTGTGTTTTTTTTGTGTTTTCTTCTATACATGTATTAAATACAGTTGCTTTTGTTTGTTATTAAATAAATTGGGGGGTCGTCCTTTTTTTTTCCTGGTCCATTTTTGCCTGCTCTGGTTGCTTTAAAATGTTTGGTTAATGAAGAAAAAAGTAAATAGGGAAAAATCATCACATAATTGGGACAGTTTATCACTAATCCATTGTTTTGATTTTATATTGAAATTTGGGATCACTAGAGCTTATTGAATCAGAAAAGCTTACATGGACTCGTTTAACTAGGGTTGGTATCCTGATTAGCTAGTCTCAGAGTTCTTAAGTGAGGGACCCTGACTAGCTATATTAGAATCGTCACAGAGGTTTGTTTAAAGTACTCGCTAAAATAAAGAAATAAATAAAATCTTTAAAAAAAAAACAAACAAATTAGGAGATGATCCTAACACTGGCTGAGTGAATCATCTAACTTTGGTAAATACTAGTAACAGAGATGGATCCTGTCTAGAAATTTTGATTCTTGTTTTCGTGCCTTTGCCCTCCTCCTCCTTTGATTGTTGCTAGAAGTAGGTAAGTCTCAAATTCGTAGAAATCCAGGTGATAAGGACTTCAGGGTAACTGAAGTCAGTGAAGACAGTTGAAGTACCCATCTCCCAGTGTTTCCTCCTAAAATAAAACAATAACAAGAAAGGAAAAGTAAAACTACACAAAAACCATGTCCTCAACATAATTTGAAGACAGAGGATACCTAGCCTAAACTCCAAAATAAGTAAAAAGAGGAACCAAAACCCTCTTATGCTCCTGCCTCGCTCAACTCTGCCCCAAGGCTTTATAAAGGCAGATCAATAAAAACCATGCAGAGGAAGCGAATTAGAAATAGGACTTAAGATTGATCTTAAGCCAACACCAGAAAAACTAATCCCATCCTACAAATGTAATTATTAGAGAGTGTTTGGGTAGATTAGATCATGAACTACAGAGAGGTAAAAATAGGCATGATTCAAAACATGTAGCTTCTGGAAGAAAGAAAGAAGAAAAAAGACAAAGAAAGGAGAAAATGCCTTTTATCAGTTGAGCAGTGAAGGAAAAAACATATATGTGTTTGGGTCTGATCAGGAGAGAGAAACTACATAGCAATTTGAACAGGGGAAGATGATACACGGAATTATTAGCTAATTGGAGTAATGTGGGATAGACTAATAGGAAGTAGAAAATACCGGAAAAGCAAATGTAAAGTACATCTCCTACTCCTGGGGCTGAGATTAAGCATCCAAGAAAGAGCTCTGCTAGCCCGACCCCAGGGCTGAGGTCCTGACCTTGTTGGAGAACGTATGTGCATTGCTCACTGGATGGCAGGGAAATCACTCTGATGCCTGGTAGAATTTGCTGAAAATCTGCCCTCTGGAACTTAATGGAAATCTGTTCTCTCCGGTGGCAGAGGAAGCTATTTGCTTTCTTCTAAACAGCGGGGATTGCTCAGGGAAGCTGTTGATTGCTGCTGTCCTCGTGCTGCGAGAGCCAGGTGTTGAGGATGCTGGGATGTGGCAGGGTCCTTGTGCTGGGGAGAGCCACGCGTCCTGGGCAGACTGGCCAAGCTACACACTGGAGTTCAGGGCAGAACACTCTCCTCCTGCAGTGTCTCTCCAGTGCCCTCTACTGATAGAGCTCCAATGCTAGCTGGCAAAGGAAAATACAGAAAGGGCTCAGGTCTGCTTTCACAGAACTGGCAAAAAGGATGAATTTCAAGCTGAAGGTGATACATCAGTAATCACAGAAGGGCAAAAGGGGAAATAAAATTTAACTGCCTACAAAAAGGAGAACTATAAAATCAAAGGATACTGTGTCTCTCTGACCATAAAAACAAACAAAAATCCCCCAACTTGTTTGGACTTTGCTACATTGACAGAAGAGGGCACTAATTAAACTACAGATCTCATGAAATACTCTAAACCATAAAAATGAACAAGAAAAAGATTTCAAAGATCCATAAAATGTTATACTGAAAAAAATCAGAAGAGAAAATCTAATTCATGCTAAGGAAATGTCCTCTCAGAGAAGCAGCCATGAAGGAGAAGAGAACTGTAAAATAAAACCCCAAATAGAAGTTAATATACTTGTGCATTTGAAGATAAGGATAACTACCTTGAATCGGAAAGTTAAAAACTAAGAAATTGACCACAAAGTGGAGGGGGATGGGAGGAAAAGGAAAAGGAGAGGAGAGAGGAAGAAGTGAGAGTTGATCGAGGTCAGGAAAAAAATGGAAGAGAAAGACGTCTTAGAAGTGAAAAAATTATAAAATGCACAAAGGAGAGCAGGCTCAAATGAAGATTTAATAAAGGGCATTGAATAAAGACAGAGGGGATAAAAGCCCTAAGAGAATGAAAATAAAATAAATCATTTACAAGGGCTAGAGGGGCGCCTGGGCAGCTCAGGCCGATAAGTGTCCGACTCTTGATTTCGGCTCAGGTCACGATCTCAGGTGGTGGGATCGAGCCCCACATCAGGCTCCATGCTCACTGGGGAGTCTGCTTAAGATTCTCTCTCTCCTTCTGCCCCCCCTGCAAAATAATTAAAAGGACTAGAGAGAAAGTAGTGTAAATGGAATGTAGAGAGAGGAGGGGTAGCATTCTTTTAAGTCCCTAAAGGAGGAAAACAAGACAATACCAGTTAAAGCTGAGAAATTCAGTGGCAAGGTGAAGTAAGAAAACGGGACTAAGAGCATTTTAAAAGGTATATGTCCAAAGTACACCATTAGAACAAACAGGCAAACCTAAAATACCAAAAAAAAAATTAAGAAAAAATGTTTAAAAATGAGACTGTGAAGAAGATCCATCTTGTAGAGAAAGAAATATAGCAAATATAACAAAATACATATAATTATCAAATACTGTGACAGAGTTGAGACCAAATATTCATAGCAATAAATATACATGGGCTTAACTCATCTATTAAAAAGATTTTCAGTTTGGCTTACATAGTTAAATACATGTGCTATATACAAGAGACACACCTGAAAATATTTCAGTAAGGGATGAACAAAGATGTACTGGAAAAATCGGAGCCATAAGAAGAGAATTAATGATCCTTGTATCAGACAAATAGAATTCAAGCCAAAACAAGTTACGAAAATGGAAGGATACTTTTTAATGCTAAATGCTGCAATTCACAAATGTTCATTAATATTTAGTCCCAAGAATTCCATCTCAGGAGAGAGAAACTACATAGTAATTTGAACAGGGGAAGATGATACAAGGAATTATTAGCTAATTGGAGTAATGTGGGATAGACATTTAACAGGAAGCAACAACTACAGGAGATTCAGAGAGGCATAGCTCGAAACACATCCTAACACTGGCTGAGTGAATCATCTAACTTTGGTAAATAGGAAGCAACAACTACAGGAGATTCAGAGAGGCATAGCTCGAAACACACACGTAGTTGGAGATCTCAGTATGAAACTCAGTACAAGAGAGATCAAGTGAACAAAGAATAAGAAATAGACAAAAAATATGACCAATAAGATAGGTGTTATGCATATTTCTTTAACTCTACACCCTGATGACAGAGCTTGTGCCTTGTGCTCATGTGCCTCAGGAACATTTATAAAAATTCATCAGTTATTAGGTCACCAAGAAAGCGTGTAAGTAGTTCCATGAAGCAGAAGTATTATACTATCTGATCACATTGCAATAAGAACTAGAAATTTCCAACAAAAACATGTCAAAGGCCCTTCCTTCTGGAAACTTAGAAACCTATCAGCCTACTCTTTTTTACATTTAAAGCTAAGATCAGAGGGAAATTTATGGTATTAAAGAAGGAGCTCTACATAATGTCAGTATGTCCTATTACAGATGGTATTGATATTGTTAATCTGGCTAGGGTGATGTTAGTCAGGTTTCTCCACTGTGAAGTTACTATCTTTCCCTTTCTAAGTAGTAAGTATTTTGTGGGAAGATAACTTTGGGCAATTCAAATAAACTTTGTTTTTCATCATAATTTTGCCCACAAGTTTTAGCATCTGTCACTGTATCTGCCTGAAAAGTATTAGGCCCACAGGCCTACCATTTAAGAAGTGAGTGAATTTGCTGACCTCTGAATTAAAGCACTGATTCTTCAGCAAACCTTGTCTGTAAAGCCAGATAAGTAGCTGCGGGCTGTGCTGTCTCTGTCACCACTACCACTGCGTAGAAGTGCCAATGCAGCCTCACACAGTATGTAAATGAAGGAGCAGGACTCCGTGCCATACCACTTGGTTTACGAAAATAGGTGAGCAGGTCAGATTTGGCCCACAGCCCTAGTTGGCCAGCCCTCGCCTTAGAGTATAGGGAAGGGAGTGTGAAAAGGATGTCTGTCCATTCTTCCTACTTTTCTTGACATCTCTCCAATTCTTCTATTTATGTCCTTACTTTTTTCCCTTAATCTGCTTCTGTAATTTATACCTTACCTGCAAACACCCAACACAAACCATGTGCTAATAATACTCTCACATATACTTAGGCACTCATTCGACTCCTGAATGTAATATTTTTTCTGGGAAGGAATTTCTTTCTTTCCATATCTCAAACTCCAGATTTGGATCAGTTATAGGAGAAGGAAGAAAATAGTAATTATGTAAGGAGTAAAAATGGGGGAATAAATGCAGAGAGGAACCTGAGTCATGTGGAAGAGAGCCCGTGTGGGGAAGATGTGAGAGCCCCTTGAAGTGTGTAGTATCAGAGAGAAGAGGGAACCTAGGAGGGAGTAAGAATAGAAGCAGTTCATAGGTAGGCGTGTGCTTTATTTCCTCAGGAGTGGAGAAGGAAATGCCAAGGAACTGGCGTAGTTGGAAAGAAGCAGAGTATTAGCTAGGCATAGGGAAAAAAGGATTTGGAAGAATACTGATTAAAATGGGAAAAAATGTGGGGCTAGTAGACTGACCATCCTGAATTCAAATATTCTTTTGCCATTCCCTTTCCTCAGGAATAGAGGGAATTCTGTCAGTAAACATTGAGATTACTGTGTAGCACATCTATGTTAGTGTCCATTGTAATGCATCAATCAGTAAAGTATATTGAACTTCTATCTGAAAAATCTTTTAGCGCTCCTCACCGGCTCTCTGATCCAAATCTGCAGTTTGAGATATGGAAGGAAAGAAATTCCTTCCCAGAAAAATTATCCTACATTCAGGAGTCGAATGAGTGCAAAAGTATATGTGAGAGTATTATTTATGAACTTTATGAACTTTATTTACTTTTGAACTTTAATTACTTTTATAATAAATCCTTTCACATGAACTATTTTAGGCTAAACTACCTTTTCTTTTCTTTTTTCTTCCTTTCTTTCGTTCATTCGTTCTTTCTTTTCTTTTCTTTCTTTTTTTTTTCAAACTCCCTTTTCAGTACGTTCCCAGTGTCAGAACTACAAGAACTGCTTTACAGGGCTATAAGGTTTTTTTTTTTCCCCTGGGGGCTATTATCACTGCTTTTCTAAATTATACCTATAACATATCAGTAAGATTTTCATCTTCTGGGGTGCCTGGGTGGCTCAGTCGGTTAAGCGACTGCCTTCGGCTCAGGTCATGATCCTGGGGTCCTGGGATCGAGCCCCATATTGGGCTCCTTGCTCTGCGGGGAGCCTGTTTCTCCCTCTCCTCCCCACTTGTGCTCTCTCTCAAATAAATAAAATCTAAAAAGAAAAAAATTTAAAACATTAAAAAAAAAAAGATTTTCATCTTCTACTGTTGACCCAATAGGGAGAGATGGTAGTGAAGGGCATCAACTCAGGTGGAACAAGTCCCTGCAAAATGACTTGTTCTCACAACATGACATATTGATGACACCCGGGCTAGGGTGTCGCTCTTACTCTTGGAGTGGCTCACTGAGAAGATGCCTTTTTTACCACTCAGAATAATTGTGTGTGTCAGGATAGTCTACTGAAAACTGCTTTTTTCTACTTTTAGACATTCCAGATCACATCTAAGAAAATATTTCACTGTGTGGTAAATATTGTGTTCAGTCAGCAATATTTAAAAACAAAACAAACTAGTGTACAAAGTAGAGTTATAGAACATTAGAGCTGATGGGGACCTGATCACTTAATGAGTGATAGCTGAGAACTGGAAGAAGCTCCTCACAAGCCAGAAGTCTAAGGGAGAGATGACCAGTTATATAAATAGGACATGAAATTACTTTGAAAGAAATATATTGACAAATGTCAATTAATATTTTTTTAATTTTGTTCCTGGTCAGTTCATGCAGTTCTGTATATTTGTTCTGTATAGTTACAGTATTTCTAGTTTTACCCAGAGGGCAAGAATTTCCTTTCTCCTCTTTATGCCCCTAGAACCTTGCATATAGTAGATACTTATCAAAAGTCTGTAAATGAAGAAGCAAATGTACATTTTACACTATTAAAAAAATATAACTGGGGCCCCTGGGTGGCTCAGTCATAAAGCATCTGCCTTCAGCTCAGGTCATGATCTCAGGGTCCTGGAATCAAGCCTCGTGTTGGGCTCCCTGCTCAGTGGGGAGTCTGCCTCTCCCTCTTCCACTTCCCCTGCTTGTGTTCCCTCTCTTGCTGTGTCTCTCTCTGTCAAATAAATAAAATCTTTAAAAAATCTATATAACTGGTCTCATACCTGCTTGTCATTATGACACTTGACATTTTTCTGTTTATAGTTTTTGTTACTCTTGCAGCAAAAAAATGGGTAAAGAGTAGAAAATATTAAAATTGACAAAGACTTATTAGAAAATAGACCAGATATTTCTAACTGTTAAAGTGATTCTTAAATCAGTGAGTTACTGTATTAAAATTTGTATTTTTAGATCAACCTGAAAATTTTCCTAATCAAAAATAGAAGTTTTGGGGCACTGGGTGGCTCAGTCGGTTAAGCATCCGACTCTTGATTTCGGCTCGGGTCATGATCGCAGGGTTGTGGGATCGAGCTCTGTGTTGGGCTCCACAACGGGTGTGGAGCCTGCTTAAGATTCTCTCTCTCTCTCTCTTCCTCTGCCCCTCCATCCCCCCAAAAATAGTTCTATTTCGTAGAATTGGCATGGTTTAAGTTTCTGAGGTTTTGTTTTACTTTTTTTTTTTTTTTAAGATTTTATTTATTTATTTGACAGAGAGACCGTGAGAGCAGGAACACAAGCAGGGGGAGTGGGAGAGGGAGAAGCAGGCCTCCCGCTGAGCAGGGAGCCCGATGTGGGGCTCAATCCCAGGACCCTGGGATCATCACCTGAGCCGAAGGCAGATGCTTAACGACTGAGCCACCCAGGAGCCTTTGTTTTTTAATTATATATAGACTTGATGTTTAAGTCCAGAAACAAAATGTAGGATAGTCTCATAGTAATTTTTGATTCTGGTGTTTTTAAGTTCTACATTTTTTTCACCCCATATTTTTAGAATTGCCAATGCCACTCCCATCCCAGGAGACTTGCTTCGAGAAAATACAGATGAGGTGTTTCCAGATGAACAGCTTAGTGATGGGGAGAATGGCATCCCTGTTGGTGTGTCACCAGATAAATTGCCAGGATCTTTGGGACACCCACGTCCCCAGGAGAAGGATGTCTGGGAAGAGATGGATGCCAACAGGAACAAGATAAAGCTTGGGATTTGTAAGGTGCGTATTTCTTGCATAGGAGAGGGTATCTTTCCTAAGTGCTTAATATTTTTCTTCTGTTGCTGTAGCAAAGTATCATGATTTTTAATTTTGAATGACAAATAGATAGAACATTGTATTGCTAGTGATTTATATATTTGTAGTTACAACATCTTGGCTAATTTTGCCCATACCACTCAGATATAGACACTGAACATTAATTTTCATCTTGTATTTTTGGAAAAGACGAAAGCGTTTAAAAAAAAAAAACACTGAGACTAAAAGAAGAGACATCTATAGGTCAGAAGTTAATAGTCTTTCTAAATAATGTGACAAGACTCTGGGTCCCTTCTCTAGTGTGGGCCTATGGAACTAGGAGTACCTATTCTGAAAATTGTCTCAAGTGGAGGTGGGGAAGTGAGGGCTAGAAGTAGAAAGCATCTAACTGATCATGAGCTGACAAAGTGGATTTTGAATAATTGACATGATTTTTTTCTTCTTTAGGATTGTAAGCAGTACCACTTGTAAGGGGAGAGATACAGATTTCTGAATTAAATGGTTAATTTTTAGTAATCTTGGGCAGATTAACCCCAAGTTTCTTTTTGATTTTACTGTCCTTGTCATTTCCATTTTCATAGAAGATAAGATGAAGATAAATGGGAATGGAGGGGCAGTAAATCATGAACCAGTTAGCTTTTGGTGCTTCCTATGATTTTGTGAAGGTTTAGTTGGGATGGAAGTTAAATTTATAGGTGTAAAATGAGACTTTGGGCTCATACCTTTTAACATGATTGATAGAAAGTTGGCTAGTCACGCTTTATGAAATGTATCTTGAAAAGAATTTTCCATGATCAATTTTGAGGAGCTTGGCCTGTCTTCAGACAGTATATATACTATATTGTTAAACTTAATAATTAAAAAAATTAACAGTATATACATTCAGTCATGGGAGTCACTGTGTAAAAACATTCTCTGCATAGATGTGACATGCTGCATTGTGGTCTGGTTATTGAAAAAGCCCTGTCTGGAACCCTGTTACACTGTTGGTGGGAATGCAAGCTGGTGCAGCTTGCACTCTGGAAAACAGTATGGAAGTTCCTCAAAAAGTTAAAAATAGAACTGCCCTATGACCCAGCAATTGCACTACCAGGTGTTTATCCAAAGGATACAAACATAGTGATTCGAAGGGGCACATGCACCCTGATGTTTATAGCAGCAGTGTTCACAATAGCCAAAATATGGAAAGAACCCAGATGTCCATCAACAGATGAATGGATGAAGAAGGTGTGTGTGTGTGTGTGTGTGTGTGTGTGTGTGTGTGTGTGTGTGTGTGTGTGTGTAATGGAATATTACTCAGCCATCAAAAAGAATGAAATCTTGCCGTTTGCAATGACGTGGATAGAACTAGAGGGTGTTGTACTAAGCAAAATGAATCAGTCAGAGAAAGACAAATACCATATGATTTCACTCATAAGTGAAAATAAGATAAAAACAGAGAGGGGGCAAACCATAGGAGACTCTTAACTATAGGAAACAAACTAAGGGTCGCTGGAGGGGAGGTGGGGGGGCTGGGGTAATTGGGTAATAAGCATTAAGGAGGGCACTTGTGATGAGCACTGGGTGTTATATGCAACTGATGAATCACAAAATTCTACCCCTGAAACTAATAATATACTAGATGTTAACTAAATTGAATTAAAATAAAAAAATTTTTAAAGAAAAATAAACTATTAAGAAAAAAGAAAAAGCCTTATCTAGACTAATAGTAATCAGGAATAAGTAGTGAAAAGTAGTAAAGAAGTCAGTGTCGGATTTTTATAATGTCAACTGTGGCTGTCTTTATTGCACCAGAAGCAAAAACTGTTCTTATAGTAAAAAATCTTGAGTGACATTTGCAGTTTCCAGCCCACATGGGTATCTGTGTGTATGAGTGTGTGAAATGGCACTTGACATTGAGCTGACTTTAGTTTCTGTCTTTTACCCATCATCACTATTTAATCTGTATTCAGTTCTCTTCTATATGTTAATTTCTTCCTTTTTCTTTTTTTAAAGATTATTTATTTATTTGAGAGAGAGAGAGAGAGAGGCAGAAGGAGAAGCATAAGGAGAAGCAGCCTCCCCACTGAGCAGGGAGCCCGATCAGGACTCGATCCCAGGACCCTGAGATCATGACCTGAGCTGAAGGCAGACTCTTAACTGACTGAGCCACCCAGTCGCCCCAGTTCCTTCCTTTTCAAAAACATTACTCAAATTAGATTATTAATATTGTTGGGTTTTTTGGTTTTTTTTTTTGAGAGGGAGAGTGGGTGGGAGAGGGGCAGAGTGGGAGGGAGAGAGAAAAATCTTAAGCAGGCTCCAAGCTCTGTGCAGAGCCTTACTCAGGGCTTGATCTCACAACCCTAAGATCAAGCCCTGAGCCAAAACCAAGAGTCGGATACTTAACCAACTAAGCCACCCAGGTGCCCCGATATTGTTTTTTTTTTATATTAGTGATGTTTGTCTGGAATTTTTCGAAGATGTTTACATTTGCTTGCATTTTTGGAAGTCCTGGACTTGTCTTCTTTCTTCCTGAAGTATTTCAATTAGAAGTTCCTTTAGTTGAGGTCTTTTGGGAGGACTCTTTAAATTTTTACTTAGTTGTAAATGTATTTATTTTAGCATCATTCTTTTTTTGGGGGGGTGGCAGCAAAGCAAGGTTTATTGAATGATAGCAAAGTGATAGTACAAAGCTTCCGAGGAGGGAGGGGGCCTGAGAAGGTTGCCCAGCATCATTCTTTAAAGAGAGTTTATACTAGAGGCTCCTGGGTGGCTCAGTCGTTAAGTGTCTGCCTTCGGCTCAGGTCATGATCCCAGGGTCCGGGGATCCAGCCCCACATCAGGCTCCCTGCTCTGCGGAAAGCCTGCTTCTCCCTCCCCCACTCCCCTTGCTTGTATTCCCTCTCTCGCTGTTGTCTCTCTTTGTCAAATAAATAAATAAATAATCTTTAAAAAAATAAAAATAAAAGATTTTTTAAAAAATAAAGAGAATTCATACTAGATTCAGAGTTTTTGACTGACAGTTATTTTTCCTCTGGGTTCAATTATTGGTATTCAAAAGTCTGTTACTCTTAATTTTTTTTCTTTGTAGATGATCCATTGCCCTCTGTCTTTGCTCCCCAGCTACTTTTTAACTTTTCTCTTTGTCTTTGGTGTTCTGCATTTTAACTACAAGTGTTCGTCGGCTTACATTTCTTTTTATTTATCCGGCTTGGGATATCTTGTTTCCTGAATTTTTGATTCATGGTTTCATATCATTTCTGGGAGATGTA